TACTCTAAAGTCCTAGTATCCCCCTTAATAAGCCTTATGGTGCTCCCCTGTATAATCCCCTATATAGCCCCCTTGAATTAAGGAGTTAAGACTGTAGCTCATATGTTCAGAGGGCTCAAAAGGTGGGATGAAGGTGGGTGGGTTAAAGGATTCTTAGTACATACTCTACTATGTTGGGGCTTACTTCCTATATCCCACCTTCCTTCATCCCACCTTTTGAGCCTTTTGATGGGTTAGTTGATATAGGGAGTGCCAGAGGCATCCTTTGCTATGAATGTTAAAACGGCCTCCCAGTGAGGACAATCCCTGCCCCTCAAGAGAACCGCCCGTAATAATAATCCTTCTCCATAATGTATGTATATATATATATTACGTAGAGGTAGGATATTAGGGGGCTATTAGTAGTGGGGAGGGTGTTGATTATTCGGGGGGGAGAAACAGCTGCTTTGAAGGGCTTGACTTCAGTAGCACCCTGACCTTCGAAGAGACAAAGCATAACATGCTCCAGTGTGCACATTGTGCTCGTGACAGCCTTTATCTTACCATGCGGCTGCAAGTTTGTGAATATTGCTTACTTCGGGACCTTAAGGCTATAAATCGTATCCACTTGGTCATTCGGATCCTCCATGGTGGGTTTTTTGTAGCTATGGCTACTCATGCTGCCACTGATGCTACTGCGGTTTCTGGTCCTAGGAACCCTCCAGCTTGCAATAACTCCTCGGATTTCTCTCAATCGGATTTCCATTTGCGGTATCGCTCGGCCAATATGGGTGCAGCAAGACAGCAATGCTCATCATTCCAATTAGGACTCTTGTCGCTTCCACTACCTATTGTAGATCATGTTCCATTACATGGTATTTGCTTGTTTGTCTTTGACTTTCTGATTGCTGCTAATGCCTTTCACCCTAGCTGGGGACCCCAATTCTATGAGTCTGTGGCCATCAGTGAAAAGGTTGCATTTTGGGAAGCACGGTCCCTAGCCTTAAGAAACACATGTCACTACCTATAGGCACGACTGACAACCTAAACCCGACCCTGAACCCTGACCGTTTACACTAGAGTAGCCAAGAACAAACTAGATTATATTTTCTTATATTACATCCACATTCACAGGAGATCTCCCCGGCGCCCTCATCAACGGCAGCTACGGCTCTGCGACGGGTCTTCGACACATCCATCGACGATGCGGAAAAACAGCGACATGCTCAGTAGTTTCCGGTTACTTGCTGGTTCTTAGTAGGAAATATGGGAAGACTATCCCTACAAAATCCCTACACAATGGATTCCCGTATTCCTCACTAAGAACCAGTAAAGTAAAGTTAGCAATGCCTGCAAGGAGGTTTGCACCTGTGGATGTTTCGGGGGTTTCTACCATGATGACCAGGATCCTATGTGTAGAACATTGGGTAGTCCCCAGAAAGAGAGCTTTTGGAAAGGTCCCTACGCACGGATCAAGTCGGATTTTGGCGTGGTGAGGGCTTTTGGCTGCAGTTCGCGCTCTTCCGGGTCTCAGATGTAGAACTTTCAGCCTGGCAGTCTGTGCAGGAGCATGCCAGTCTCAATGGGGTTAGGGTTCAGGGCTCGGGGTTGAGGAGAGCGTGCTCGGGATCTTCGCAGATCCCTGCACCTTGAATATTCGCATGCCTGATAAGAACAAAGATTCCAGTTCTGAGTGTCTTATGGTCGTGTCCTCCAGGAAATGCTCACCCTGCCCGAAGGGTCCAAGTACCTAATAATCATATACTTACCCAAAACCGATACTATAATTACGATTACCCCAAACCCAAGTGCCTCAATATTGGGTGCATGGACCCTCTGGGCTGTGTTTTTTGGCTTGGAGGGTATTGCGGATCGAGCGAAGTTGACAACTGTCTCGCAGTAGGACATTCCCAGTACATGTGCCGAAGCTGTTCAGAATCATGTTGTCTCTGATGATTCATGTCTGAGTCCAAAATGAGGCGGATTTCCCGCCTTCTCAGGTTCTATGATGAAACCAGTGCAGGTCACTTCTGCTTATCGGAGAAACTTGCCCTAAACTCTTCTCTAAGTATCTGCACCCTGAGCTGTACCCGGGAAGGCTCCACGGCACACACTCCAGCGCGTAGGCTTCTCGGAGTTCAGTTTGTTTTCCTGTGTTCTAAGTTCAAGCATGCGGAACGTGAGGGAGCCCTAGTTCGAGAAAGTCAAGAAGACTTAAAATCCCAAACCCTGTGCAAACCTGATATGCCCACAAAGCAGCGACCCTTAGACTTTAGGTTCTTGAGTGCTAAATGGTAGTTTCCCTTAATTAGAGGTATCTCTTTGGGTCGCAGAAATAACAAGGATACTCGTATATCGGGGTCTTTATTATAGTTGGGTCTTTAGTATTGTTGGGTCCCCTAATTATTTTAGGGAAACTACCACATAATCCTCATTTAACCCTATACAGTCATTTCCACTTGCTTCTCCATCTAGGTGATATCCCTATACAATCTCCCAAAATCCCAAAATCTCCAAACCCGAAGGACTGCCTTGGCTCTGGCAGCACGACGAGCTCTTCAGTTTGACGAGGATCTCTAACGCTATGTACATTACCCAGAGGGTCCACATATACAACCATTAGGGAATTGGGACCCATAATTCCTTCCATGGTATGGTATTTTGGGGCCTAATTCCCTAATAGTTATATACATGGACCCTCTGGGTTAGATTCCACTTCAGTTCTTTGTCTGATTTTGCCATTATTTGGTAGTTGGACCGATCCTAGAAGACACAGAGTCCCCCTCGGCCCAGGCTCTCCGAGGCTCCATGGTGGTTTAGGGTATAGGGTCTAGGGGTATATGTAGGGTTTAGGGTTCTATGATCTCAGGATCTTGACATGAAGTAGCATATATTCTAAACGAAGGGGAGGGTTTCCCAAAGCAAACGATGAAAACTGTCAATGTGCAGTGGGAGGAACTACAACAGGTGATCTGCTGTGCTCATTCGCGTGATTGTAACTAAGCAGCTCTGATAGGCTTGGGCGAATCCAAGCTGGTACGAAGAGCAGCTCATGCCGTTGCAATCAACCATGAGTTTAAAATGGCCTGGGACGCATGTAATAGCCCATGGAAGTGCTCCACGCCATGCTCATGGCTCCTCTACATGAATTGTTTGTAGAATCACGCCGCATACAGGTACCTGATCCCCGCACCCTCCCGACCCACCCTAGCGCTCAAAGTATTCGTCCTCGCAAGTAATTACGGAGCAGATAAGTTGGGCTCAAATAGGATGCCGACTAGATGCTTTGTTCTGAAATTGAAGGCACTTCGATCCTTAGGGCCATGTGCGAGAAAGTTCAACAGGAGTTGCAGAAGCAGCGTCAGAGGCCTTCCGCAACATCAGGTAGAGGGTTTCGGGTCAGAGGCCTTCAGCAACACCAGTCAGAGGGTTTCGGGTCTAGAGGGATGCAAGTTCTGCAGTCTCTGACCAAAAACAGGTTAAGGGCATCGTCTCAGATTCGGGGGGGGTCCCCAGGCCTCAATCGGTGGGTATATCTACCTGTATGCACCCATTCTGCAACAAAGGCTGAAAGGACAAAGGTGGGATCAGATACTGTATGTCCTGAACCCCTCACTCCTCTTCGAACCAACCTTCACACTGGAAGAAATGCCGCAAGCTGCCATCTGAATTCTGGCAGCAGGTAAACCAGGTAAACCTGCCATCAAGCAACTTCTGATTGAGGATCGCATGCCTCAGCCAAAAGAATTTTCTTGCTGAGCGGTCTCGTCATTTAATCTTCAGATACCCAACAAGGCTTCAATGTGACTGGTTCAGTGGTTTCCTTTTGTCTGTAGGGCTTTGTCACGCTGCTCCTGTGGCCTTTTACCAGTAGCATGTGAAAGCTCCTGTAATTATCTTCGTGGTCTGTGGCCGATTTTCCGTAGCTTCGTGCATCGAGATAATGAGGCTGGTGGCAGTGCATCCCATGGCATGGGCTGTGAGTAATTACCGCCAAGCATATCGTCCCGCTTAAGTGGATAGAATGTGCCGTTGAGTATATTATAATAAGATCCCCACATACCCCATATTCTATCTACTTAGGTGGGACTATATGATTAAGACATGCAGGGCGCGAAGTCGAGAGTGACTCATGCCAGAAACCGTATTGAGTTGGTCTGACATTTGTCTCATTTAGGGTTGTTCCCGGGTCCCTTGTAACAGGGAATTCCATTCGGCCCTTCTGCCTTCAGCATCCCTTATCAGGAAGCCTCATAATTGAGGGCACATGCGCTTGGTGGGAGTGGCGCTGACGGGGGGGTGGGGGGCGACGTCGTCCTACACTGGGTTGCTGTTAAGGAACTTAGTTTAAGTTACTATATGGGGGAAACCGTTTTATTCAGTGTATATACCTATTACTTTAAGCCTACGCCCTAAACCCTAAATACCCGTACCCATAGTATGGTAACTTAATTTAAGGTCCTTAATTGCAACCCCGCATATTCAGGAAAATGTTTTGTTTCAAGACGTGGAACATGAGATATGTACAACCTGGTTGGAGGATCTGTTCATATGAGCGACAGTCTAAACTCCTTAAAGGGGGTATATCTTTGTATGTATGTGCATATATACATAAACATATTTATGAGGTTTAGGGTTTGGGGTCTGAACTCCTTAAAAGGGGGTTATACAAGGAACTGTATAGTGGAGTAGGGGTTGGGAAGGGGGATGCTAGGACTTCAGACTATAGCTCTTATTGAATTTTGATGACGGAACTCACCCTGCATACTTAGTCATACTTAGCCCAGCTAGCTTGTTCGAACGACTAAATGTCATAGTCTCTAGGTCACAGAGACATGCAGAACTAGTTCAAGCAAAGTCGTCTCTCCCACAATGTACGCTTGCTGACGCCACCTGCAAGGAGCATTGGAGGACTGCAATCGGAAGAGGGATAGAGATTCTCGCAGCACGAGGATGTTGCTCCGCAAGTTTGGCTCAGGCTGAGGAAGCTCCAACTAGGAATCAGGCTGTGATGCGTGAGGATGGGTGTGGGGGCAGAAGATGAACATGCACCCAAGAAGCAGGTAAGCGTGCAGAATGCAGAGGCCTCAGAGCTTTTGCCCGTCACCGTCCTCAGTGGTTTCCTGGGTGCTGGGAAGACCACACTGCTCGCGCACATGCTGCAGAACCAAGAAGGTCTCAGGGTGGCGGTAATCGTCAATGATATGGCGGAGGTCAACATCGATGCCATGCTGGTAAAAACGGGCGCGGAGATATTGACAGGGAAGGACAAAATGGTCGAGATGCAGAACGGGTGCATCTGCTGTACGCTGCGCGAGGACCTCATCGAGAATGTCAGGAAACTGGCCTTGGAGGGGCGCTTTGACTACCTGGTCCCTGGAACCTGTATGGAAAGCACCTTTGTTTGTTTGTTTGGATGATGATGATGATGATGAGCCCGGCTTTCAGGTTAAAGGATATCTTTACACGTCTTAGGGGTCGTTATATCAGGGGTAAATCTCTGCAGTAGCCCCTACATGTCTCCGATTGTATGGTACTTTCCATGTGTCCATTCCTTCCTTCCCTGCTAGCGACCAGCGAGATAACCCTAAACTCTATATATCCCTAATAAACTCTAGCTTCAGATTCATGTGCCATGTGATTCCCCATTGTGGCAGGCAGTGTCCCTGTACAATTTTCATAACACCAGATCTTATTGAAACCGAATAGTTAATTAGTTAGTCACGTAAAGCAACTGTTTAATCACAATGAGCCGTAGCCATTTAAATGATGAATTATAGATTTAATCAATCTATTTTTTGAACCCGGGATTATGTATGTATATATACATAGATATGCGTTTATTCTCCCGTATCCCCAAACCCTAAACCCTAAAAAGTAGTTTCCAATTTCTTTTCCATTGGAATCTACACTGTTGTTGTAGTTATTTAGGCCCTAATTCATCCTTTATCCCCTAAACCCTAAACCCAAGACCTGCCAGGTTATCGAAAGCACTGGCATCTCCGAGCCCATGCCTGTAGCCACCACCTTCGTCAGCGAGCACGATGGGAAGAGGCTTTTGGGCAGCGTTGCCCGCCTGGATACGCTGGTAACCGTGGTGGATGCTGCAAATTTCCTGAGACTTGGTCGGAGAATCCCGCTCCATAGCAACAATCCCCTTCTAATTTCCACACCCATGTAAACATATGCATATATATATATATGTATATCTGTATCTATCCACCATGGTCAATCAACAGCCCAGGGGCTGTGCTATTAGGAGGAGAGGCGTGCTCATGTTCAACAAGGAGGAAAGATCCTCCTCTGTAGACAGCAGCCAGCCACGATCCCCAATGCCACTCCTGCATTCACCTTGTATAGTCTCCCGGTGCCTCACCCCTACAACCCGAATTAAATGCTAAACCCTGAGCCCTAAGCCTGAAGATAATCATCGGCTATAACCGCTGTGATTCGTTCATGGACCAGGAGAGATTATGAGATGGGACAGATGTTGACTGACAGAGCAGTCCTGGGGGCGGAAGAATCCGATCGGTAACATGTCGGCATCGCCGGGGATCTCTGCCGTGGTTTAGGGTTTAGGTCTGCAGGATGTCCCGAATGGTTCTAAATACCTTTATGTTTCAAAGTAAGATATTTATAACAGGAACTAATTTGATAGTGTGGTTGGGCTTAGTGTCCCTGATATTAGCACTTAGGATCCTTTGGATGTGTGTGTGTGTTGGATCAGCAAGGTTGGTTTCGTTGTTGGATATGACGAGTTTTTGGGACCGGTAGCACCTCACGTATAATTTAGGATGGCATTGAACCGCATTGCGATCATACTGCAGGATGCGATCTCTCAAAAGTTCAATTTCAGAGCTGATCAGCTGAGCAGTGCTGTCAAAGATTCGGAGAAGCCGCGCTGGCCTAGCGTTCTTACTCCGCGCGCTCTTCTAGAAGGCCGCCTGAACACTGAACCTCATTGCAGATCCAAGTCCCAGACCCTGACTTGTGGCATAGCCCTGAATCCAAAGCAACAAAATGTCGCTCTTGAACCTTATAAGCTTTAGATTAAGCCCTATAACCCTAAACCCTAAAACCTGAGGCGAACCATTTCGGAGCTCCTGGCTGATCAGGTGGCTGGGTTCTTGATAGTTACCCAACATAAGGGGACCCCAATTCAGACCCCGATATACTATAGTCCTTATCATAGGGCACCCCCTAAATGGTACCCTAATTTTGGGAAACCCTATCTTCAGCTAAGGTCTGTTGTGAAACTTTACTCGAACTTTGCCTAGACCCAAAGGATCCTAAGTTCCTATATAGAGTTTAGGGTCTGAACTTCTTAAAGGTGGTTTATATAGGGAAGTATTTTAGGGCTTACTTAGGGGGATGCTAGGAGTTGAAATCTTGCTGCATATAGGGGATACTAACCCAAACCGTATTAATAATTCCTTTTATAGAAATCCTAATTATACCATATAGGTATTCAGGATCTCTTGGGAGACTTACAGCCTACAGCTCATCCCATTTCTTTGGGATCACGTTTAGGCTACGGATGTTTTGCGGGGGGACTTTGGTCCATGCTTCCGTTCACCCTTCTTTGGGATTGCCGATGCATCCGGTGCCCAAAAGCAATTTTTCAAGTAGAAGCCTGAATGCTTGCCAGTTTTGAGCCCAATTCATTACTGTGGAGCGCTATGAAACCCCAAAAACCTTGTCCAAGTTCCCCCCCTCCCCCCCTAAGCCTAAACCCCCTAAACCCGTAAACCCTAAACCCCAAACCTAAGGAACTCTCATAGGGAGAAGCTAAGGTTGAGTGTGCCAACATCATCGTCCTGAACAAGGTGAGTGTTCGGGAGACTGGCTCAGCGTTCAGGGTTTAGGGTTTCGAGTTTAGGAAAGTTGTGCCAAAACCTGGGCCCCTGGACAATTCCCCCCAAATAATTGGCCCATCCTAGACAAACCCACAAAGTTGCCACATCCACCCTCAACATCCCTCGGCCCTAAACCTGCAGTCTCTTTAGGAATTATTTTTAGTTCTCATGATATTATAACCCTACGGAATTATTAAAGACAATATTTTTTAAGTATAGGTCCGAGGAGATTACAGAAACACTGTAAGCTCTGAATTCCAAATCCCAGAACACTCGCAGAGGTCGACTTGATCTCGGCGCGAAGAAGTCGTCACATCGAGGGCCTCCTGAAGAAGTTGAACCCTAAGGCGCTTCTACAAGTTCAGTGGTTTCAGCCATTGAGCTTGATTTTAAAGGGTTTCAAGCACTGGATCCCAATTGACTGGCCCAAAACGGAACGTTCCCAAAACTCCAAAGCTCTCAGCAAACTGAATGATGCCAAGGATGGCATGGCACCCAAAATGTAACAGGATTAGGCCACACCTCTGTCGGAAGTCAAAAGTAGTGCGAATGCATGAATATCAGTTGAAAATCTTGTTGGGGGTGGGGGGGTGCCTTTTTTGGGGCGTACCTATCATAGGCGTTATAGTATAGGTTGTGCAGATTTCCTCCAAAAACAGTTCATATCTGTGAATATCTACTACTTTTCTTGTCTGCCAGATCCCCAAACCGTAGCCTGAATCATTGACAAAGCCCATAGACTTCCCCCGTCGCAGTGGCATGAGAACTGAAGGCCAGAATTATCCGCTCGTCCTACGCGAGCCTTGGATACAGCTTCTCTGGGTCATTGTTAAGGAACTTGAATTAAGTTACCATAGTGGGTAAATATATATATATAGAGAGAGAGAGAGATAGTTGTTATGTTTTCCCAATATTTAGTTAAGTTGACTTCCTTAGCAGCAACCCACTTTGGTTTTAAACTCCTCCCCTGATGATGAAACTCTACTCTCGAGTGACGGCTAATAGAATCCCAGTATACAATCGAACAATTGTTTATTGTCGTAGCATGCCGTGTCATATCAGCCAGCGCGGAGGTGATTGAACAGATTTCGGTGCTTTCAAGTCAGGCTTCAGGCTGTGACGCTGAAAGTTTTGGGGCTGGTGAATTAGGCCTGTATTTTCTGTTCAGTGTTCTGTTCTGTAGGAAGGACGGGGTGTTTAGGACTCTAAACCCTGAATGTGGGAGAAAGCTGGCCGTGGGAGCCCCGGCCGTCTGTACAGCTCTAAATATGAGAGCATCAAATTCCACATATGGTAGTTCCCCAAACCAGGGGAGCCCGATAGAAACCTCCAAAATACTATAGTCATTATTCGTACCCCAAATTTTTTGAAACCCCCGTGTAAAATCCTCATGTCCCACCCGACTATGCTTGCAGCGTCCACCCCCAGAGGGTCCGAACCTTGACTTCAACGGTGGGATGCTCAAACTGAAGATGTGCTAGGGTTTAGGGTTTAGGATTTCCTCTTCTCAGGAAAGTGGATCTCAAGCTGCTCTTCAACACCAACAGTTTTAGTATGGCGGAAGCCGAGGAGATTCTGCGCAGTGAGGGGTTAGGGTTCTCAACTATCAGGTTTCTGCGGTGTCTGGCTAATTGGGGTTTAAGGATTAAGGCCTCAGCTATTAAGGTTTCAGAGTTTCGGATAAGGTTTGGGATTTCAGGGCTTTGAAATGCCATGCAGCTCCGCTATAGAATCCTGAATAGGAAACCCCGTAACCCCTTGGCGATCCCATAGCTCCCCCACTCCCTAAACCCTAAACCCCAATACCACGAGCCACCAAAGCGGAGGAGATGCCAGGATGGTTCCAAGAGCTGCAGGGCAACCATGTGCCTGAGACTGAAGAGCAGCTTGGAGCTGTTCAGGGGTTGGGTTCAGGGTTTAGGGTTTAGAGCTTCTTCTTCTTCTTCAACTGTTCAGGCTTTATAGAGCTTAGGGGCTTACTTTGGGATGTATGAGAATACTGAAGAATCAAACGGAAAACCAGATGCAAAATGACATGGAAGCCATCTTGTTTTTGGGCGGATTAAGAGATTGTAGGACGCAGCTAATCCGTATTCCATGGAGTTCCAAAAACGGGCACTGCTTTGAAACCCCTCGAATACTTTGCTTAATACCTGGTTTTGGGTAGATATCTTCGAAAACAACATGATTCGTTTAAATCCGATTTTGTGCCAGGGTTACACACACACACACATGCCGTCCCCATGCGCGGAGCCCTACCTGGACCACCAAAGTATAGGGGTTAAGGGTTTCCAGTATATATGGCCTTTGGGCCATTTTGGGGCAGTTTTGCGCCATGTTTTTATTTACCTTCGGGGTATAGAATGATGGCATTGTTTGGCTATGTTTGGGAGTTTTTGCGGAATGGACGTATGGGGGTTTAGGTCAGGTATAGACCTCCCTTAACGCTAAGCCCCGAATCCTCCAAAGCCCAAGTGCCCTTGCATTCCTATGGCCAGGGTTGAGGGCCCTAAACCCTATAAACCCTCTAATCCCCTTCAAGTAAATAGAATATGGAGTAGTACATGGAGATCTTATAATAATATACCGAAAGCCATATTCTATCTACTTAAGCGGGACTATAAACCGGTAGGCTCCATAATTCCATACTGCAAACACCTCAGCCTTCGGCCATACTGTACCTGTTGCCTTGGACTGAGCTCAAACACTGGGCCAAAAACCTGTCGAAAGACTACATCAACTTATGCCCTGCAACCATATATAGTACGTGATAGGTGCAACCTCGCCAATCCGACTTAGCCAGGTGATGAAGATTCTCGCATTAAAGTAGAGTCTGCAGTAGCACTCGCAATTGCCTACCAACTACCTCAAACGCCGACCCCAGCGTCACACCTCAATCCATCAATCCACTGGAAGCTCAAAATTCTACATGTCCATCTCATGCGTAAATTCTGTAGGGGAATTTCTCGCTACGATGCCTCTATTTCCCCAGGGTCGCCAAGGGCGCAATGTTTTTGGACATCTGCTCTTGCCAACCCTCATCTTCAACCTTAAACCCCAAAGCCCTTTGCCTTACCCAACCCTGACCTCGAATTCGAAAAACGAAACCCTGAATCCTCAGCCCACCCATGTAAATCCTAAACCTCATACCCTACACCATGATATACGCTAAACTCTAAACCCTACACCACCATCCTATACCCTCAGTCAAGGTACGGCATCTCTTCACTCGTGTTTCGGGTTCAGAGGCCATTTCATCCCGAGCGCCTGGACAACCTCCTTTGTACCTTGCCTTCGCTGGACAGCATAGGGTACATGGTTTGGGGTTTAGGGCAGTTCAGGGTTTAGGGTTCATGGTGTGGGGTTTGGGGTTTAGGGTTCATGCTGTGGGGTTTAGGGTTTTGGGGTTGATGGTGTGGGGTTTGGGGTTTATGGGCATGGGGTTTACGGTTTTGGGGTTCCTGCTGTGGGGTTTAGCGTTTTGGGGTTATGGTGCGGGGTTTGTGCATGCAGCCGCTCGGACGATCTCGAAGCTTCCACTTGGAGATACACTACAATGACAATATCCGACCGCAAGCAGTCAGCTCGTCTGTCTGTGGAGGCGCTTGGCCGCGTTAAAAAGGCATGAGGACACTGGAAATCGAGCTGCGCAGGCAGGGGATTTCGAGTCACTGTTATAATATATACCCTAATAATCCCTGTAGCTTCCATTTTCTTTTCCGTTATCCCTATATAATCCCTGTATTACCCCTATATTGCTCAGGAATTCTGTGTACGATGTGCTTCCGATGTTGGAAGCTAACTTTTGCAGAGCAATCTTCGCGTGCAAATATTTAGGCCGTAACCGAAGTGCTGGGACTCTACAAGTCACTTCAATAGGCTTGAGGGCATACAGACTACACAGTTTCCACGAG